TCCTACACTTCTTCAGATGACAGCACAGTGAGATTCTTGGTAAGTATGTATAAAATGAGTTATCTAGGTTGGGAATTATTTCAAAACTCATAATTTTAGTTGTCTGAATGTACATCAGCTATTCATATCTATACATAAGGGGGACAGATAAAACAGGCCTGAGTCATTTGGGTTTAACTTACTTCTTTAAAAAACAAATTTTGATTGAACAACTAGGCATTGTTCTAAGTAGTGGGTGTTCTGGCTCCTGCCTTCATGGAGCTTTCAGGTTAGCCAAAACATAATGAACAGAAAGGAAAACAGAAAAACATGGAAATAAAAACAGTATATTTGGACAGGAAGAAGTAAAGGTAGAGAATCCAAGTAAACCAGGACCCTGAAGCATGGCAAGGTAAAGAGGGAGAAAGAAGGATTTCATTTGGGATTCTTGTACTGCAATTCATTTGGAATTCTTGTGCTGCAAGAGATCTCAAGACTGCTTACGCTACCTCCTTCCCCCTTTTGAGACACACAGAAAGTAAAGCCCAGAGAAATTAAAACTCACATAAGATCAATCATTGGCTATCATTTATTGAATGCTTCTACATGACAGTACCATACATATATTACCTCATTTATGTTAAGTAATGCTACCTAGAGAGGTGCTGGTGGTAGTAGTAATATGATGGTTTTTATAGACAAAGAAACTGAGGTACAAGAGAGGTTAAGTACTTTGCCCAGGCTATGCATCTGGCAAGTGAAAGCATCTGGGTTCCGATTAAGGACTTGTGATTCCAAAACCTGCTCCAAACATGCTAACTCAATTTTGAAGTCATTTGCGTTAACCCTGGTGGTGTGTTCTACAGTAAATAATTGAGTCTGTATCAGAGTATATATGTGCTCAGAAGCTTACATACTACCTCCTGTGTTCCTCTCCACTTCTGGATTTTAAGGGAAAGTACTGGCAAGATCCAGTCCTCCTTATGCTCCTTTCCATGTTGTCCAGACCCCCCATGTGGCCTTCCCTATACTCAAGCCCTGTTTGGGATGCAAGTGGGCAGCGTGGAAAAACTGAACATCAAGAACAGTTACTGTCCACTTCCCAGCCAACCATTCCTTCCGGTCCTCCCTCCTTCCCTACCAATCCAATTCCCAAGTGGAGCTGGCATGTGAGATGAGACCAGATCTGTTGTCTTGCCAGCGACTCTGGCTCCATGTCGCTGGCAGCTCCATGAAATTAGAGCTGCGATGCCTTTCAGGGGTGCCTCAGTTTAAATGCCAAGGCATTCATTTTTCGAATCTAAGCCTTGCATCTCTCAGGGAATTTTCCTCTTCTCTTAATGTCATAAAGCCATTTAAGTGTATTGGCATTCTCCCCGCTTCTCCCAAAGAACAGACCTCATTCTGTTGGAGTTTTAATAGTTTTTCCTTCTGTTTTAGTGCTGTATTTACCTTTTTAAATTTATGTGCACACTTTGTGTCAGTGTTATGTATTTGGTGTGTTTTTATTTCATAGACTCTCTGAAATCTTAGTGTTTGGTGTGAGTTCTTGCTTATTGGCCCAGATTTTATTAACAAAGATCAAGAACTTTTAGTATTTTTGTCTTAGAAAAGAGCTAGAAGTAACAAACTCTGGAGTTCCCCACACTTACATTTTCCAAAGTCTGTAAAATAATGATGCATCCCCAGTCTGGGCATGTGTGTAGGAGGGTGTGGGGAAGGGCTGTGAACCATTACCGCCTGGTGTTCTGGAATCAGACTGCTTGAGTTGTATCTCAGTTCCATCACTTACAGGTTATATAGCCTTGAACATCATTTGCTATTTCTAGTTCTACGTTTCCTCATCTGTAAAATGAGAACAATAACCATATCTATCTTGGGGGTTGCTGTGAATATCTAATGAGCTAATACATGTAAAGCACAGTGCTTTGCACTTAGTAAGTACTCAGTAAATCTTGACTGTTTTAATATCACACATTAAATTATTTTGTGGCCTGTTGCGGTGGCTCACACCTATAATCCCAGCACTTTGGGAGGCAGAGGTAGGTGTATCACTTGAGGTCAGGAGTTCAAGACCAGCCTAACCAACATGGAGAAACCTCATCTCTACTAAAAATACAAAATTATACAGGTGTGGTGGCACATGCCTGTAAATCCCAGCTACTTGGGAGGCTGAGGCAGGAGAGTTGCTTGATCCCAGGAGGCAGAAGTTGTCTTAAGCTGAGATCATGCCATTGCACTCCAGCCTGGGCAACAAGAGCAAAACTCCGTCTCAAAAAAACCCATATATGTATACACTTTTTAAAAAGAATCTTTTTGTTTCTTTGTTTCTTTTCCACTTAAATGGTGTTTTTCAAGCAGGCATTAGTGAGTATTTTGTCAAGAGGGTTAGATGAGTGGGTTGGGGATGCTGATGGCACATAGACCATAAACCATCCCTGGAGATTAATAATGACTTAAATATAGGGCTACTTTCTGACTTCAGTTTCCATAAAGGTCAGGAAGAGATGAAGAATAAAATTTGGAGTAGAAAACTCAAAAAGATTTCTAGAAATATAATGAGTTCTAAGGTACAAATACTAAAATCCAGGCACCTTCCTAAGACGGCTTCCTTCCTAAGCTTAATGTCAAAGTGTGATGTCATGGACAGAAGGTCAACAGTGAAAAGATGTCTTTCCTATTGTGTCTCTTGGTTGCGAAATCCAATTATAGCATGTTGTGGACATTTTGGCTTTAATATCCTGATTACATTAGGACCCAAGGAATCTCATTCAGCTTCTTGGAGTTCCCATCCCATGTGTATTCCACGTGTTTGTGTACACTTCTCATCCCACACTGTTACATCTGGCAGACAGCCGTTGTCACAAAGGTGGTGATGGGTGTCCATCAGTGATACGGATGAGATTGATAGGGGACCTTGGGGATCCCTGAGTATAAAAGACTAGGGAAGTAAACGGCAGCCGTAATAGCAGATAGGACATTTCATACTCAGTCTTCTGGCAAAGATAGAGTTCAGTCCTGGGCTTTTTGCGTGATAACATATGAATATGAATGTAACTAATGCCACTGAATTACACACTTAACAATGGTTAAAGTGGCCAATTTCATATTATGTATATTTTCCCACAATTTAAAAAAGTGAACAATGTAATATACCAAAACCATTATATGATTTAAGTGGGTGCATTGTATGGTAAATGAATCGTATCCTAATAATGCTAGTATAAAATATAAGAACATTTAAATAATTTTAATTTTTATCAGTACAAAAATATTTTTGCTTACATTGCTGTATTAAAACTATTTAATATTTTAATGGTAGCAGAGAGATTGAATTTCTTTTGTTACTTTTTAAACTTTATTTTGAAAACATTTAAGTTTTGAGAATTGTATGTTGAACTCACATGCTTATCACCTATTTTCACTCATTGTGAGCACTTTCTCTTTATTCTCTGTGTTCAGAAATATGCACTGTGATATGGCAGTGGTTATTTATTTTTGTCTTTTTAAAAAATTCACTGTGCTACTTCTTTTAATCCTTTGCAATCTGAAAATTCATGCCTCTTAAATCTTATGTACTGAGAAAGTCTTTAATTTCTTTGATAGATTTATTTATCCCATAGTTTGTGTTTTCTTTTCTGGAATCGGCTATTAAATGAATGTTGGACCTCCCAGATTTTCTTATTTTTTTCTGTCCTTATTTTTCATCTCTGCGTTTTTATTTATCAGTCTGGAATATTTTGTGATGTTTATCTTGCAATCCTGACCTTTATTTCCCCCCACTGGCAGGACCAACCAGGTAGCAATCCTGCCCTTTAAAAATGATTTAAATTATTATATTTTTAATGTGCAAGAGTTGTTCCTATTCTTTGATAGAGCTTTTAAAATAAAAATAGCAATTCATTTTTATTTCATGGATGAAGAATCTCATCTCCTGGCGGATACAATTTGTTGTTGATGCTGTTTTAGTTTCCTTCTGCTTCTTCTATTGTTTCTGTTACTTCTAAATTCCTTTGTTTCTTCAGTCGTTTGGTTTCTGTCATTCATGCTGAAGATGGTCTTGAAATGTCTGTGATTCTAGAATCTGCTCATGATTAAGAGGGAAGCACTGAAAAGCTGGTCAGAAGTTATTTGTGCGAAGGCCAGCTTGTTGCCTGAAGGACTTCATTGTAAGATGTTGGGGTGCCGAGCTAGCCACTTGACTGCCAGCACTTTGGGCACTGAAGGGGAAAGAAGGCTGTAGGGCCCATTGTTTAAAATGTAGATTTTTCAGCCTGTATTTTCCTCTCCTCTGTGCCTGTGTTTCCCTGTCTAGAACTTCAGTTTCCTCCAAGAAGAAACCTTCCTTCTCCAGCTGGGGTGAGGGAAGGATCGATTTCTGTCTGAGTACTTCATGGGGGGAGTGCTCATGAATCTGGGTCTCTTAGCTGCCCCTTACACAGATTTTTTAACAGAGTCTTCGTGTTTTCAACCTTACCATTCTTCTTACTTCACAAGGTATCTGATGAGTTTCGTTCCTGAGCCCTGTGAATTCCCAGGTTGGCCTGCTTGTTATTGCTGGCTCCCCTCCTGGTAGTCGCTCAGGTCTCCACTCACACTCCTCCTCTGCTACCCCTTCTCTATCCCTTTCTGTCTTTCAGAAATATCTTAATAGGCCCATCAGCTGTTGTCTTTTCTCCCATCTCTTTGTCCTTATAGATGCAGATTCTTTTATGTTCATCAACTGCCTTTTTATTGGGTTTCGGGAAGGAATGAAGATAAATGTGTGCTTTAATGTCATGTTTAACCAGAATTTTTCTTCTCAGCTGCAAAAGTTCTCAGCTCCTTTTTCAGTGATATCAGAGCGAAACTTAGTCCATGCAAATTTTGAGGAGGGGAAGACTTCTGAACAGTTACTTAGCTCTAGGATCGGTCATGGTAACAAGCCACCAAGCCTGACATTTTTGGGTTTGTTGACGATGTTGGGTTAGCCACATTGTTGCAGCTGCTTTTCTGACCCATGTTAATCTGTCCTCTTGTAGAAGTGGGGCAGCGTCAGCAATCCACTCTTCCTCCCACTGATCCCACCACAGTCTCAAGGGTTCACCGCCATAGTCCTCACCTACGACCGAGTAGAGAGCCTCTTCCGGGTCATCACTGAAGTGTCCAAGGTGCCCAGTCTATCCAAATTGCTCGTCGTCTGGAATAATCAGAATAAAAACCCTCCAGAAGGTAAGAAGAGTGAGGAAGTGGTGTGTTCAGGAGAGGCCTGGTTTGGGCCTTAGTGCGTCTCTCAGCTGGGTTGATTTTGGATGGCCAAATTATTCACAGCCTTTGTTTTAAATAAGTGTTCCTGCTCTGTCAATAACAATGCTATTTCTGAGACAGCATGACTCCATTTTTCTCAGTCCTCTCATTCTTGTTCTAGGGTGGCCCATTGAACTCCAAGCCCTAGCATACTCTGTAGCCACAAGTGTTTAAGGGCTTAGGAATCAATAGGATCAAAGGCTATCAGCCTTGGGAAAACAGATCTCAGCTTCCCGCAGCCATCTCAGCTGATTTGTTTACATGAAAACTCAGTTTAAAAGGCATTAGTTTTCTCTTTTCTTATCTCTGCTCTGATACTGTACTTTCCTTCAAAAAAAAAAAAAAAAGGATGGCCTCACTTCTGATTGGAAAAGTCATCAGCAAAGTATACCCTGTCCAGACTTCAAGTCAGGTCCTTCAAGGGAGCAACCACTAGAAGCTCCCATTGGCTCTTCCTTAATCACTTTGTTCCTTGCCTTGGCCACCCCTGTAATCTACTGGCTGGCAGCTAGGATTGAGGACTATTTGATTAATTGGATTTGTTTTTAATTCAGGACGCACAGAGTATGTTCCACCTGCATTTAGTTTCTCATTCAGTCTGTCTATTACTGATCCTAATCCCAGGGACTTCAAAGCTCCTGCCATTTATAGCCTATTAAAGCCAGGAAGTTTCTGATGGATTAGACCAAGGAATGAGTTTGAAGTTAGTAATGTGCACCACTGTCACCGATAAGGTCTAGTTTATTGCCTGACAGTAGTATCTGCACTTTTTATGGCTAGTCTCTTTTAATTGGATATACTGAAGTTGGGAAAGTCAACCCTAGAAACTAGGCTGGAAGAAGACTGTATTTCTGGCTCTGTTAGGCAAATTGGAATTTGCCTCAAGAAAATTCTTTCGTTTTTCCAGAGACATTGACAGATTTTACTTCATGGGATGTTTGTTCTCTGAGAGAATCATATGCTTTCTTTTTAGATTTAGGGAGCCACAGTTAAAACAGCTATTTTATTTATTTATTTATTTATGTTGAGACGGAATCTCGCTGTGTCATCAGGCTGGAGTGCAGTGGTGAAATCTTGGCTCACTGTAACCTCTGCCTCCTGGGTTCAAGTGATTCTCCTGCCTCAGCCTCCTGAGTAGCTGGGACTACAGGTGCACACCATCATGCCCAGCTAATTTTTGTATTTTTAGTAGAGACGGGGCTTCACCATGTTGGCCAGGACGGTCTCCATCTCTTTACCTTGTGATTCACCCACCTCAGCCTCCCAAAGTGCTGGGATTACAAGTGTGAGCCACCTGTACCTGGCCTAGCTATTTTAAATAAAGCTCATATATTATTTCCTGATATTTAGAAATTAACTTTCTACGCCAAGATTTTCTTCTCTCTCTCGACACTGTAACATGGCCAGTTTTCTGGATTTTTATTTTATTTGTTTGATACATAATAAGAGAGAAGGAAAGGGGTGAAAGAAAAAGGAAGATGTGGGCATCATTTAAGAAGGGAAGATGAGAATACAGAAAGGATGGAAAAGATAGGGGAAATTATAAGAAACTATGTAGAGAGGGAAATTATTGACTTGGATTTATTCATACCAATTGCCGTTCTCCAGAGCGAAGTGAATTGGGTGGTATTGCATTACTAATTTGTCCCTTCGTTTATAAAGGATAGATCATGTTTGTAGAAGGAAGGCTGGGGGCCTCTCATTGGGTCTGGCATGGCCTGTTGTGTCTTGCGGTAGTTATAGGCCTATATTTGCTCCTGCATCCAAAGGCCACCAGCTTTCAGAGAGACTCACAGCTCACTCCTGCAGTCCTGCCTGAAAGGCAGAGTTGCAAATTCTGATGCTAAATGCCAAAGAGGCTTCTCCTTATAAACCCTGGTTAGCCACTTTAGTCATAAGGTGAGTTATTTATTGTGAATTTGAGTCACTTCTTTCGGGAAGGCATCATTGCAAACTGTGGGAAAGGAGAAATTTTTTTTCCTTCTTGATCTAAGCCTCTACCCTGGCACGACTAAAGGCAGCAGCATGAGCCCAGGTTTTGGAGCTGGGTGTTCAGTTTTAATTTTTGGTAAGACCCTGCTAAAATGTAGTGGTTAGTTTTATGACCAAGACTTTAGTTTATTTTTCAAAGATGTTGACTCTAGGGAGGAAAGAGAGCCCTTAACTGATGAAGCCCTAATTTTGACACGTGTAGTGACTGGACTAGCTTTTTTCTAACAGTGGTTTTTAGGTCAGGGCTCTGGCTCTGGCGATGTGGTTGTTTGGGGAGAACATGAACCATGTTTAATCGTCTGCGGGGTGTTTGTTCAGTTGGTAAATGAGGCTGTCAGCTCTGGTCTGCATGCCAGCAAATGCATCTGATTTTTTACATACAGCATTAGTAACATATATATTATATATATTTATAGAGAGAGAGAGAGAAAGCAAGTCCAAGGCTTTGAAATATTAGAGGCAAAAGTGATGTTTTTTACTTTCTCTACATTTGCTAAAATAAATATTGTGGTTACCATGTCTGCTGCTGGGAAGATTTGTGTAGGCAGAAATCTACCCCCACTTTCCCACTTTTTTTTGCTTTCTCCAACCCAACCAAATACATTTTTCTTTTGGTTACATTTAAGTCCAAATTTCTGGGTTTTAAGTTTAAGTAAATACTTAGACTAGGCAATAGACATTTCCAGTGAGCTTTCATCGCATTGGTTTTGAGCTTTGTCAGAAGAGACTGCCTTCTCTCTCCCTAGTTTTTAATTTTCAAACTTGATGGATATAGAGGTTATTTAGTCTGGCCCTGGCCTTGGTCTGGAGGAGGTTGTTGCCTTGTGCATTTCAGACAGGGGTAACTCAGCCTTCTGTTTTAAATGACTTCAGTTTTAAATCTGAGTTAACATCAGGAGCCCCCCATATGCATATCACAATCAGGAGCTTCAGATTGTGATATGCATAGTGCTTCACAGGCAGGGTGGGTGTGGCTGAGCATGTCAGCAACCCAGGATGGCCAACAAGGGAACAAAAGCAGCAGGCACCCTCCTTTTGAGCGGAGTTCTCGGACTGTGGAGAATTGGGTCATGAGTCCAGCTGGACACCAGGAACTCAGGCAATTCTGAAGTGGGCTTAAGGTTTGTATGGAGATAATCTGATAATTTATTTTGTGAATCTGTGGTTGTAGTTATGCTAGTGATTGGCAGGATGGACTCAGGGTCATCTTCCATCAACCTGACCATTTTGCAGTACCTTTGCCAAGTTGGAGAAAAATGTCTTTGCTCACATTTCTCTTGGCATCCAACATGGAGAAAACCGTTAATCAATATACTTGAAAAACGAAATCCTTAACACAAGGAGTTCTTTTTCTCCTTTGAGCTGGACTGAAGCTCATACTGTGAAGTTATCAGGTCACCTGGCTCAGCTGTTTGTTTTTCATAAATTCTGCAATGCGTTTGAAAAATCATATTTTTCAGGCTACTTTGTATGAATGGGAGGTGACATTTCTATTTTGTCTGTTATAGGTTCACAGGATGAGACATAAGATACAAGGGCTTGCTGTTTCATTTAGAAGTTTAAAGCATAAGGAAAAAGGACCCCAGTTAGGCTAAGCAATCGTATTTGGGCCTGAAGGTTTCTAGCTGTGACACAGTTTCTGTCTGCATTCTAGAAATCGTCCCCATATCCTTCTGTCTAGACCTCTTCCTGTTATCAGTAGAGAAGTGAAGTTCATAGGACTTCACAAGAATCCACTTGTGAAGATGATCATGATATAACCATATTGTATACCTTTTTAATCCAGGAATAGGAACTGTGCTACATGCTTATTACCTCTATCTTAGTACAAGCCTGCAAGGAAGCTATTACTATCCCCATTTTGCAAAACTAAGAAAAATGAAACTCAGATGAGCAATTTGTCAGAAATCAACACAGATCTTTCTAGATCCGAAGCTCACGCCCTTTACACTAAGCCCCCCCATGTCTATTTAGATTACCATTTAGTTGCAGGAAAATCATCATATGTTGTCAGTTCTTTGATTTGGGATCATGTAGAAGAACTAGATCCTTGTCAGGGGCTCAGAGACACAGAAAAGTAAATCTGTTTTTTTTTTTTATTTTTTTTTTTTTTTCAAAAGACTGACGGGAAGGAAAAAACTTCTTTTCGCATAGATTTTTCTTTCCTACCTCATGTTCCCTTCTCCTTCTACTGCTTCATTCCTAGTTTTTTTTAAAGGTTACCTTTTCAGAATCAAAATTCCATATCAGTATTATCTGTTTTAAGGACAGGGTGTAATTTTAATGCTTGTTCTTTGGTTGCTGCCCTCTCATCTCTGGCCTCCACAAAAGGGATACTGTCAGAAGCCTGAGAGAATGGTTCTTGTCTTTCACGGAGGCCGTTTAATTTGACAAAGGGAAAACATGAAACTGGGAATTCTGTTTAGAGTCCCGTCAGGTGCTATTGATGGTCCGTAGATAGCTGATCACCGAAATGGAGCCTTTTGCCAAAGCCAACTTTTGGCTATCCAAACCTAACTCGCAACAGGGAAAAGTAACCATACATCTTAAAAAGCCATAATTCATTCTGAATTTCTACCTGCACCCCATATCATCCTCCTGAGTCTTCATCACTCTCTAAAACTTCCCCATCAAAGACTTTACAGGGGCAAGTTAGTTCTTTGTGGACATTGTCTCAAGTAATGCTTTGGACATATATAGGTAAACAGCGTGGAAAGCTGTCTGTGGGTTGAATGTGCTATACACATTCCTCAAGTGTAAGTCCATATAAATATGCCTCTACACTGGATGGAGTCTGGACTTACACTTTATAAAGCAGCTAGCTTAGTTTTTCTGCATAGTGGGAAGAGGAGCTGTTTGTTGCCTTGTGGAATTAGCATGACCAAAATTCCATGTTCTTTTGTTTTATTAGTGTGTGAGAGTTTAAAGGATTCATGGCAGGGATTTTGCTTCTCTAAAAGTGGACATGGAAGGCCTCAGCGGGGTATACCACTGGGTTGTCTGGGTGATGTACCGGATCTCAAATGTACCACTTTGCCACTGCTACCTAGGGTTCAACAAGATTCTCTGGTTCTGTAGGTAGACACAGACTTTCCAGAGAAAGCACGGCTAACATTTAGTGACTGCCTACAGTGTACTGGGCACTGTGTTGCTAAATGCATCCCCATTCATCCTCACATTCAGTCATATCAAGATGGTCTCATTATTCCTTCTTCACAGTTGAAGAAGCAGGCTCAGAGTATTTAACTTGTTCAAGGTCGCATGACAAGTAAGTGGTAGACCTGGCATCTGAAGCTGTTTCCAAAGACTGTTTTCTTTCTGTGATGTTTAGCTGCCTCATGGAATCCTAAGGCCACAGAGGCATCGTGTTTAGTTTCCACCTGATGTCAAGTAGAAATCTGACCTAAGTTAGTGCATTTTAAGTAAAAGGGCACATTGTGCTGCTGAAGGCAATATATCTTAGAATAGTTTATACCATCAGGAAGTTTTTACACATTTTGAGTCTAAATCAGTTTCCCTGTAGCTTCCACCCTTCCATTTGTCATGCTTCTAACTCTAAAGGCCATAGAGAACAATTCCCTTTTCATTCGATAAGCTTTCTGATATTCCAAGAATATTAGTCAAGGTTCATTTAGGAGACAGAAACCACATGATAATTTGAACAGGAAAAATTTAGTATGAATTATTAACTAGTAACAGGATTTGCCTGCTAAAGGGTAAAGAGAACTCTGAAGATTACAGGAAATAAACTTGGAAGAGCCCCTTCCCCAGCTAGAGGTGAGATTCACACCTTGCTGGGGAGAGTAGGGCTGTCATCCACTGGGTTAGGAAAGTTTGCTGAGATGCCGCAGGCTGAAGTTGACAAGCAGGAAACCCAGTCATGCCCTTGTATACACACAGAGTTCGACAGGAAGCTGCCCCGGGAATGTTATTGAACTTGCTGGGAAACTGGCTAGGGCTTTGGTAGAGCTCACCTGGAACTACCCACAGGGAGAATTTTGGCTGAGTTGCTGGTGGGGCATCCACAGAACTTTCTGGAAGCTGCCTGCAGGGGTGCTGTTAAATTCACTGGGAAGCAGGTTGGGGTATGCTAGAACCTGCTGGCAAGGTGCCCCAGGGAAGAGGTGCTACTTACACTTGCTGGAGACAAGTGCCCCTGCCTGCCTGCCTGCTGGCCAGGCACTAATGGAGCAAGAAGTAAAAAAGGCATACCAGACCCAGGAAGAAAGCCATCCCCATGCGCTGCACTGGCCCTTCGGTGCCCTGTACTGGCACAGGTAAAACCATGCCAGCTGCCAAAGGAGAGGTGTTCACAGGGTCCAGTTCAGCTATCACTAACAGGGCAATGAAGACCGCAGTTGAAACTGAGAGGCAATAAAGTTTTAAGCGGCACGCTTAATTTCTGTAGGCATTCTATAGAAAGCCTGAATACAGATGCCTGCACTGTCCTTGTTATTTCTTCCCAACTATTTTCTGGGCCTGTTGGTACTTCTCGTAATGTTGCGGTACCCAAATCTGAACAAAATCTAACTCAGCAGATTTCAGAGTGTCATCTGGGTACCCTGGGCATCCCTGAGATCCTTTCAGGAGATCCAGGACATGGAAATTATTTTTATAATCACACTAAGTGATTATTTCTCTTTCCCACTTCTCTTATTCTCTCACAAATGTACAGATTCTCCAGAATCTACATGTCATGAGTGACAGCATTTCCCAAAGCTAATGGAATGTGTGCTTATATATTTTCTTAAGAGCATAAAGGGATTCTGAGATCAAAAGTTTTGGAAACCACTGGCCTGGTAGGTAGGGCTATAACCTCCTTCATTTTAGATGTTACAGTGCGGGAGTCCCTAACCCCTGGGCCAGGAACCTGTAGCCATCTGTGGCCTCTTAGGAACGGAGCTGCACAGCAGGAGGTGAGCGGCTGGAATGTGAGCATTAAGGCCTGAACTCCTCCTCCTGTCAGATCAGTGGCAGCATTAGATTCTCACTGGGGTGTGAACCCTATTGTGAACTGCTCAGGCAAGGGATCTAGGTAGTGAACCCCTTATGAGAATCTAACGCTGGATGATCTGAGGTGGAGTAGTTTCTTCCTAAAATCATCCCTACCCTGGCCTCACCCTGTATTCATGGAAACATTTTCTTCCACAAAACTGGTCCCTGGTGCCAAAAAGGTTGAGGACCACTGTTGTAATGTGTTCATGTTTTGTAAGGATTTGGGAGTGGTGGATGTATGACAGAGATTTTATTTATGTGAAATAGGGATCAAGCAAGAATAAGGGTGATTGCTGGAGAAAGTGATTAGACCTTACTAATTTTGTTCCAGATCCAGAGAAACATGGGATTCTGAAGCTGCAGCTCTTTTTTGGTCTTTTAATGCTAAACAGACTTAGGTTCAAATACTAGCTTTATCATTTATTTTTTGTGTATCACTGGGCGAATTAATGAACCTCTCTGAGCCATGAAAATACTACTTTGTAATAATTCCTGCCTCATAAAGTTGTCAGGAGAATTGGATGACAGTGTATCTATAAAGCATCTGGCATATATTAGTTGATTAACAAAGTTCTCCTTCTTCCTTTCTCTCTGCTTATCCTTATCCTGAAAAGAATGGACTTGCTTAAGATCCCATAGATAATGCTGAACCCAGGCCTCCAGTCTTTCAGGCATGTGTTCATGCATTATTCCAAAGATATTTATCGATTATGTGCCACGAATGAAACTATAATTAACTATTGATATTGATGAAAAGACAATGGCCCATAGGGCTATTTCTTTGGTCACCGATTCAGCCCTTTCCCAAACACACTTTTTGGAGTTGACCACTCTCTATGAGGCTCTGTGCCACAGGTTTATTTTAAGACTATGAATACCTTCCTTGACTACAGGGCCTCCCACTTGCACAGGTCTGTTCCAAGACCCTGGGAGTACCCCAACAATGTGCTCTACAACCAGTTATACTACAACATGTGCAGAAGTAAAACATTTTATCTGCAGTCAGTCAAGACAGCCTTCTCCCCTACTGACTTTCCCTCTATCTTCCCCCTCTTCAGTCTGGTGACTTTGGAGTGGCCATGAGTGCTTTGGGACTTCAAGACCCACAAAAATGAGATTTTTCTACAATTACATGGTGGACTTTTTGAAAGCAGTATGATACCTAGCTTTCCTGTTCTCGTTTGACAAATGTGTGAAGAACAAACTGCCCTCTGAGGTGTATGGACATGGGTACTGTACCAAAGAAGTATGAATTTCATGCTATGCCAAATGCAACATTTTAAAACAAAGAACCTGTGGTCAAATTACTCCAGTCATTTCGTAAAGTAGAATGGGAAAAAAATGTAAGGCAAGTTATGGGTTGGTGTTTCTTCAGTATACTAGAAAATCCCACATAATTGGACCTAGGAATTTGATAATTACTTTGTAAATTGGTCACTATGAGAAACCAAACCTAGTGAGTTGGGGAGAAGGGATACAGTGCTGAGTTCAGGAAGCTACACTCATTCAGTGAAACATACTCTGATGAGGGGTGGCTTTTAGCAGCACTGAAAGCTGTTCGATTGCATGATGGAGGTGGGCACATCGGGGCAGACATCTTCAGCAAAGGCACTGTATGTCCTAGCACAGCTGCAGGCAAGTTCTCAGCTAGGATATACTTACCTGAAAGTATTTTGCAGAGTATTTACCAGAGGTGGGTAGAGTTCTGATACTAAAGCCTTGATTCTGAGAATGAAGTAATCACATATATTGTATGGGTGTATATATGTTGTATCTATATGTGTGTATGTGTGGTATATATATTTTTTATTATAATAAAGATGGATCTGCGAGAATCTCCTCTTGCACAGTTATACTTTTGGATTTGGTGAAAGCCATGGCTACAAGCTGATTCTTCCATCTCACTTGTGATGTCATGCTTTTACTACTTTATCTCCTTACAAGAGTTAGGAGAATGGTAAATACCTTTTCTCTTTTTCCAGATTCTCTCTGGCCCAAAATCCGGGTTCCACTGAAAGTGGTGAGGACTGCTGAAAACAAGTTAAGTAACCGTTTCTTCCCTTATGATGAAATCGAGACGGAAGCTGTTCTGGCCATTGATGATGATATCATTATGCTGACCTCTGATGAGCTGCAATTTGGTTATGAGGTAAGGAGGTTTTACACAGTGTGTTTATGTGTTTAATATTACTTTCTATGATTGCTTGTCTTTCCTAAAAAAGAGTATTATATTTCCTTCTTAAAAGTCAGAATTTCTCAAATCTTCTGATAGAGTCCAAAAGGTGTGAGTTATGAAGCTGTTCTTTAAAGTGCTGGAGAAATTCTATTCCAGAATGACAACTGTGCCCTCCACTGGTTTTGGGAACTCCCAAGGAGAGTCCCATGGGACAATTTCAAAAGAGCATCTATAGCATTTAACAAGCACTTAATTGATGTCTCCTTGAATAGCACTTCCCTTGACTCAAGCAGCTGGGCACCACAACAATAAAAACATCAATAAGTGAAGACGCTGGCGACACTGACAAACAAAGCAGACCCTGTTGATGGCTTTCTTTCTGAGTTTTAAGTGGAGAGGCTGGCTGCCTGTCTTTAGGGAGAAACATTCCCTATCACCGTTTATTCACTGAGGCTGATGGATTAGGCTGGGTTCAAGGGTTAAGTATGGAGACCAGTAAAGGTCTCCCCAGGGGAAAGTGCCAGAGTCCAGGCCTGGTGAAAAGCAATAGGAATTGATGGGCCCTGTCAGAGTGTACGTGAGATGCATGATGACGACAGGCGAAGACCTGCGGCTGCCGGTAGAGGTGGTATCAGACCTAAGCACGCAGAGTGTTCAAGTCATTTAGCTCTAACTGGCTCGGGGAAAGGGGAGAGAAGTAAGCATTTTCTTTAGTTAACTTAGGATTTGTTGAATTGGGGGTTCTTAAATCCTAATTTTTTTTTTAAATGAAGCTATATTTAGTACATATATTTATTATAGAAATTTATTTTTAAACACTTAAATTGAAGGTGGATTTTAAGGGAAAGGAAAATGAATCCGCTCCCCCCAACACTATCACCACCACCAAAACTTAAAAGCTCAGTTTTTCCCAAGTTTTTAAAAAATGTAGCTTCATTTGAGTGTAAAAGAAATTGTTATGAAATAGATTGATGTGCGATGCCCCGGGTGATATAGTTATTGGCCAATGAAAGGCTTGAGAGTAGCTAATAAAACACACATTCATCTTTTTGGATTTATTTTTATTCATAGGAGATGACTTTTACAGCATAGTGTCAAGGGTGTTGGATGATATTTAGTATACGATTATTCCCATTTTTAAAACAAATTGCCTGCTTGTTTTTCTGGCCAAGTCATGGCAAAAGACTAATTTTTTTTTTTTTTTTTGCCAGTGATTTCTCTCTTCATTGCATATAATGGCTTCAAACTCTAGCCATGTGTTTATTTTTGTGGTAAAAGCGAGGTGGAAAAAAGGAGTGTTCCAAATGACATGGCCAAGATGGACAGAGTGCTGTCTCTTTAGTATTTTCTGTTGGTCTAAAGGAAGACTACTAAAAGAAGGGTGGGCTGAATGGTTTCCTAGGATTTCTTTCAACCCTGAGTTTGTTTTAAGCAACTTAGAGTATGTTAATGAAAGGAAGTTTTGCAGAACTTAAAGGGACTGATCTTGCATCTTTACCTCTTTCCTCTGATTACTTGTGTTTGATTCCGTATTATCTCTAAAGAAGTAATTATTAGAAGAGTGAAATCAGAAAGCAGTCTTATCTCCATTAGTATCTCCAGATGCTATGGAAGGAACAGCTTTGATACAACTTTTATACAATTGACTATGTTCCTGTCAACATCCTGAGTGTTTCCATACATTACTTATGATCTTGCCCCAGGCCTGCAAAGCAGGTACATTTTTCTCATTCTGTACTGAGACTCTTTAGGTTAGATAACCTGCCTATAGTCACACAGCTAATCAGTGGAAGAATTAAGATTAAAATGAAATGATTTTTTTGACAACGTGCTGTCTTCCCTGAGGATTTTACTGTTACATTTGCCAGAGATCAGTGTTCCTCAGAAGTAGTACTTAACAGCCATCAGCATATCATTTGCCTGTCACAAAATTATTTTGACTCTAAGAAAAACAAATACATTTTTTAGGAACTCCTACCATTGGTGCTTTAGGGCCTCTGCGCCCAAGTTCCTGCTCTATCACTGACCAGTTTATGATGATGGACAGGTTATTTAACCTCTCTGGATCATAGTTCATTGTTACATAAAATGGTAGTGACAATATCTACTTCATGAGGTTATCACGTGCATTGGGTGAAACTACATAGTGCCTCCCACATGGAAATTGGGATTCCCCAATCTAGGTTGGGTCCAGCGCACTCTATACCTCTTTGTGAGCAAATAATGGTGAACTGTGTTGTTTGGTGTCTTTTTTTTCCTTTTAGAATGTAAGCACCAAAGGGCAGTAAGTACATTTCCTGTGTGATGGACAGTAGATTGTGCTCTTTACAGATGCCATGTTAACTGCTGCTGCTGTTATCATTATGACTACCACTGCTATTTTCCTTATTCCATTCAGGATTCTATTATGATTCATGAAAGAGACTGTTTTCATTATTCAGAAGGGACATTTCTGTCTTGATGAAGGAACTCAGTTTAGTGTTGAATCAAAAGACAAAAGACCATGATGCTCCTGAATCCTGCTTTTTATGCTGAAGCCTAGGGTTGATTTTCATGCAGGAATTGGGAGCAGGCTTGACTGATTAAGGGAATAAATAAGTAAATATTTTCATCTTAGGGGAGCTATATGGGAACCCAGAACTACTACTTTTTGGTGTAATCACAGTCACTCGGAATTATATCCGTCTTGTTAATCTCTGCCCATCCTTCAACACTGAGCTCAGCTGATACTATTTCAAAGAAGCTTTCAGAGTCCCCAGTCTAGTTGGGTTCAGAGTACTCTGTACCTCTTTGTGAGCAATAATTGTGAACTATGTTGTTATAATATCTTTTTTTCCTTCTAGAATTAAGCAGCAAAGGGCAAGAACCATGGCTATCTTATTCATTGCTATACCCTCTGTTCCTAACCCAGTTCATTGAATTCAGTAGTTAATTCAGTAACATTTGGTGAATAGACAAAACTGCCTTGCCAATACACATATGAAAAGATAAAAAAGATTATTCTGGCCTGTATGCCCTTCCACTTTACTGTGATCCATAATCTGGTTACATCCATTTTGGCAAACAGTTTGGAGTTTAAAATGTTAAACATACAGCTACTATATGACCAACCATTCTTCCCATGGGGATTTACCCTAGAGAAATGAGAATATGTATCTGCACAAATACTTGTACACTAATATCCAAAGCAGCTTTTATTTGTAATAGGCAAAAACTAGAGAACATAAAACAATGTCTATCAACAGTTGACTGGATAAACATTGTGATACATCCATAGAGTAGAGTATGGCTCAGTAAGAGGTAAGAAGTAACTATTGATAAATGCAATAGCATGGACATTTTTCAAAGTAATTATGCTGAGCTAATGAAGCAAAGTAATTATGCAGAGCTAATGAATTATATATATATATATAATTATATATATATATATATATATATATAATCCTAGAAAGTACAAACTAATATTAGAGATAGAAAGATCAGTGGTTGTCTGGAAAGTAAGTGGGGAGGGTCAGGCTATAAAGGGCAGGAGGGATGAATAACAGAGGGGTTCAAAAAAACTTTTAGGGGAAATGGATATGTTCATTATTTTAATTGGGGTAATGGTGTATACAGATGCCAAAACATGGCAAATTGTACATTTTAAATGATTTATTGTATATCAACTATATTTCCGAAAAGCTACAAGAAAAGTCATTTATACTCTAGCAGTAGCATAAAAACTGAAATATTTGAAAAATTCAACAAAATATGTGCCAGATATGTTTAGTGAAACCTAAAAAATGTTGCCGAGAGAAACTGAAGAACAACTTCATAAATGGAAAGATATACTATGCTTGTGAATCCAAAGACTCACTATTGTTACCATACAAATTCTCCCCAAATTGTATAGATTCAAAGCAATCCAATCAAAATCCCAGAAGGCTTTTTGTTGAAATTGACAAGCTAAAATTGAAATGGAAACACATCAGACCTGAAAAAGCCAAAGCAATTTTTTAAAAAAGAACAAAGTTGCAGGACTTACACTCCTCATTTTCAAACTTACTATAAAGCTACAGTAATCAAGACACAGTGGTATTGGTGTACATTTAGATATACAGGACAATGAAACAGAATAAAGAGTTTGGAAATGGGCCATACATGTATGGCCTTGCACACTTGGTGGCAATGTAAATTGATACAGCCATTTTGGAAAACAGCGTGGAGGTTCCTCAAAAAACTAAACATAGAAATGCCATATGATCCAGCAACCCCTCTTTTGATTATATATCCAAAGGAATTGAAATCAGTAGGTTGAAGAGATATCTGCATTCTCCTATTCATTGCAGCATTGTTCACAATAGTCAAGATATGGAATCAACCCAAGTATCCATAAACAGATGAGCAGATAAAATGTGATGCTTATACACAATGGAATACCATTCATCTTGAAAAAAGAATGAAATTTTGTCGTTTGTGACAACATGGGTGAATCTAGAGGGCATTATGCTATCTAGAGGGCAGATACAGAAAGACAAATACTATATTATCTCACTAAATGTAGAATCTAAAAGTCTGACTTCATAGAAGTAGGGAGTAGAATGGTGGTTACCAGAGGTTGGGAAGGAAGGCAGGGAAAGGGGAAGTATTGGTCAAAAGGTACAAAGTTTCAGTTAGACAAGAGGAAATAGTTCTGATGATCTATTCACAGTAAGGTGACTACAGTTAATAATAATATGTATTATATTATTTCAGCATTGCTGAAAGAGTAGATTTTAAATGTTCTCACCACAAAGTAATAAGGTGATGGAAATGCTAATTAGTCAGATTTGCTCTTCTACAATGTATATGTGTATGAAAGTATCACATTGCACCCCATAAATATATACAATTATTACTTGTCAATAAAAATAACATTTCTTAAAAAGCTGAAAGAGAATAGGATTAAACAGAGGGGGGAAAGGTGGATTGAGCAAAAGTTACTGCTTGAAACA